AAGAACTTCCGGGAAAGAGCTTTGCTATTCCAAGACCACAAAGGTCAGCCTTACTGTCATCACTGCCGGTTCCCACCACACAGGATTAGCCTGCTTGCTTAGCTTTGGACTGAAGTCTTACCACCTCCTTTCCAATGGCGCTTTCGATGCCCGTGATGGGAGCTGCAATGTTTAATGTGGAGGCTGGTCATTCTTTGTCACCTATCTCTACAGATTAGCTGTACAAATCTTCTGCCCCGGCTAGCATTCGCACCTACCACCATTACTTCTTAAATATGGTGTAAAATAGCCTAAGGTGAGATCCAGCCTCACTAGGCAAGAGCTGGGTAGTGGAGTCCTCAGCCCTCCACGTGTTTCCTGGGTCTAATGTTTTCTTTGGGACCTGTTTTATAAAAGAGATTGAGGAATGCTGAAAAAGCAAATCTTGATGCTTCTTCATACTCAAGATATTTGCATTCAGCCATGTTCCCCATATTTTCCTATCCCTATATCAAGGCACCAGATAGAGATGCACTGAAATGCCACTGATTGAGACTTGGTTTATAAATAGATTAGATGCCTACAACTAGATGATGTGAATTATGCCCCCACTTTCCATTAACACCCATGCTGCTGCTGCATGGGATTCCTTGGACAAGTGGCTTTACTGCTGAGCACAATGTTTGGCGGAGTCACCAGACTGACACATTAGCAATTTCTACAGGACTCTACACTTCCTAGAGAAGGTATTATTGAAAGTCCAGCAGCAGCCAAAGAAATACTTTCATTATAAGGTGGATATGAAGTGCACTGAACTGGCACGTGCATATCAGACTTCTGTGCTGTCCACATGACATTGTTCAGATCCAAATCTTTAAATCCAAAGCACTTAGAACTGAGGTGAATCACAAGATGTAAAGAATTTGTTTGTTATTGTTTTGAGAAGAAAATCTTAATGGCATTTCAGTTGGAGTTTTGGACTGTTTCTAAAATTTCTTTTTCATTCAAAAGTGAAAAAATGTTTGCATAAAATAGCTTAATTGCTGTCAGGAAAGAAAACTGGTACATACCATACTGTTCAGGCCCAGCTTAGAGCTATGTGGATAGAAATATATTGATAAAGATCTACCATAAACCCACTTAGTCACTTCAGGAAATGACACTGAATTCAAATAATACACACATAGGGAACCAAGAGTTTAGACACTTGACATGACTGGTTTTGCTCACGAAGGTACTGTGAAGGTAAGGACATGGATATCTAGACAGATGTCACACATCCTACTGTGCTAAGAAAATAAGAAATGCATTTGTGGAAAGAAAGAATTGATGGTCATTTTTAAATCAGCTAAGAAAATTTAGCTTTGCTTTTTTCCTCTCTTTAGCTGAGACCCATCTTTTCCCTGACAGTACAGATGCCAGAGGCATCCTTTGGGGTATCAGAAGCCACAGTGGTGTTGACACCATCAGCTCATACCAAGACTGTGTGGCTGGAGAGATCCTGCTGGATTCATGGCTTTGCTAGAGGCAAATCTTTTCCAGCTGTATAGGATGGCCTTTCTAGGTGGGATTCCCTTTTTTTCATGCAAGTCACTTAATCTGAAATGATACCATGAAAACAGGAGGCAAAGGCTAATCTCCAGCATGACCTGTTGTACATTTCCTCTTCACAATGACTTTTTTTCATGTTTTCTCCTAGCCCTTTATGAATTTGTATTTACTGGCACTGCAATATCTTCTGCCTCTCATCCTATGATTGCATAACCCTTGCCAGTAGAATAAAAACCTGTTTCTAGTGTCTCCCCTTCACCTGAAAAATATTCTTTTGTGTAATATCTTCTATGCTGCACTTCCTTAGGCTCCATGCAGTCTATGTTCATGAGGGATGTAACACACAGGGCTGTCAGACAGTATGTGCGCTTGTCCTTTGAAGACAAGGGGAAAATCTCAGTCTAGTTTGATCAGAAACTTATGAGCTGTGAAACTGGTAGATGGAGAGCAGAGCATAAATTGTCAGTGGAGTCTTCATCATGTCCAGCATTTATGGTTACTGTAAAGTAAGGAAGGTGACTAATTCCCTTCAGCAACCTCATTGTCATGCCAATTTAATCTGGTTTAGTATGGTTGTAAGTTGGAAACCGACATAACTGGTGGTAGGAGAATCCTTACCAAACAGCCTAATCTCCAAAAATAAATCACTGCTTCCTGGAACAACCACATCATCAACACACAGCCAAAAAGGTGCCTGGGGAGTGTTTGGGAAGATCTCGGTAGCCAGTCCGGAACAGCACGGTGATCTGCATCTGCTTATCCGGATGTCTGGATGTACCCTGTGAAATGAAAATACTCAGTAAATCACTTCCTTGGCATTGATCTGGAAGTTCAGGAAGAAAGATCAAATTGCACAGCACACACCTTTGGTGTAGACCAGAACTCATTTAGTATAAATTCTGAAACTGCATTGGGTTAGAACAGACAACCGCAATGAAAATGGACCTTCAAGTGAGTCTCACTTGGTTGCTGCTGTTAAGTGCGGCTCTTCTCTCTGAACCAGGTACTGCATCTAAAATTTTCTCATGCTTGCAGGGAAATGGTACAGACAGAATTAGTTAGTAATACAGACTGGCTTGCTGGGAAGTGGTGGCAAAGAGTCTCCTAGAGTATTGCTGACAAGCTTTGTACCATAAAATTGTTGGTTTAATTTATCTTCTAATTCAAAGATTCAGCTCAAATCCATAGGTTATATTCCAAAACTGGAGGTACCGAAGAATAGTTTCTTTTCTGTGAGGGGAATAGTTTGATGAAGTTGTTCTCTAAATGATGTTCTTCTAATATTCTAGTTTTGAATTTAAATTCTTCTATACTGTACATTTGAAAATGCAGACAGAGAAAAAGAAAGAGAGCAGCCTGCCAGACCAAGGTGGGACTATGCATTACTGCAGTGCCATGTTCCTTCAAACGTCAAACAATAACAACCCCAAACCTTCCTTATAATCTTGCTAATTTGAATGAGATACTTTGACCTTTAATTATCATTGTGGACACCATGAATAAAGACTCATCAGTCCCTTAGAAAAAGAGACAATGTCACAGAGTGTAGATCAAGGGATTGGGTATATTGAATTATTTATAGGACTAAGCTGCATTTCAAGAAGGTGGTTAAATCCCAGGACTTCAGCAACCCTATAATCTTTGTCCTTATTCCATAGGTTCACTTTTGTCTTTGATTTGACCTGATGTAGACTGGGTTAACTTTGACTGGAAAAATCACTTAGGATCCTGTCTTGCAAACCCCAAGATTTTAGTATCCCTAAAGTAAAAGTCTGTGAATCTGAGTGTCTGAAGACCAAATGCCAATTTGAAAAAAAAAGAGAAAAAATCCCCAAATGAAATTTCTCCTGATTTTAGTGGTTGAATCAGGCACAGCTCTTCAGAGCATGCTAATTCTGAAAGAGCAAGGATATTATTTTAAAATGCTGCTATTTTAAAACATTGCTTTGACCCCTGTCAGCCTAAATCCTTTTTCTTTTCAGTGACTATAAGTAGATTTTCAAAGCTATTTATGTGACTAAAACTACAGATTATCAAAACCATACGATGAGACCACAGGTTGGTATCCTGTTTTGGAAGACCATTTCATCCCCTGGTATCTAAACCATGATGCCATGGTCTGGTTTAATCAACCATACATTTTTAAATACTTTAAGAAGAATATAGTATATTGTTCACTGCAGAGTTAGACAAAGTTGGGCTTCCCATGCAGACCTGCGCAGGCATTTGCAAAGATTTAAGCTAACATGCTGGGCTGTCAGTCAAAACAACTGTCACAGTCTGCAGAGGTAAATGGTCCACAGCCTCCCCTGCTATTGTGGTCTGGCAAAGGTAATAACCCTTTCTACCGTCCCAGTGAAATTTGGCAGAGTTCAGCTCCCAGAAGCCCATGTCTTCACTGGAGGTGAAGGGTGTACACGAGGACTTCTGGGGTCAGATCCCTTTGCTCTTTGTGCTGCCATGAAATAAGGTCCTCTACAGTCATCTTCCTCTGAACTATGAGGAAATGAGCACGTCCTTCCAGACACAGGGAGAAACTGCAGGATTGCTTTGAAAACACACCACATACCAACACTTAGTGTATCTAACTCTGTATCAACACATACCGGGAATCATCTCATAGCAAAACATAAAATATACCTAGAATTGTGATAAGTTACATCAATGCTGATATGTTTGCTTATCTGCCACAGCAAGCGGTTTATGGTGGAACTCACCAGGAGGCTCAGCAACCAGAGATCTAAACTCACTATGGAATAAATTTTCAAACTGGATAAAAGACAGATTTAAACCCAAAGGTAAGAGGGTAAGACATGCTCTTGAGTGTGAACATACCAGGCACATCTGCAGAGTTACATGAGCCAGCTCTGGGTGAGCTGGTTATCTTACCAGCACAGCCAACGATAACCTGCCGTGACAGATCGGGTCCTGTACACAGCAGAGCCATGCGAACAAGGCTGAATTAACCACACTGATTTGAGCTCTGCTGCTCAGCTCCCTGCCCTGTACTGCTCTGTGCACTGCAGGTGTTCCCCAGTAAGCCCTAGGTACCGGGGACACAGAAACACTGGGCAGCTTGTCCCTGCACAGATGGGGATGCAGGCTTAGACTTAAGAAGTTTAGATATCCTGGGAATAAACAAATTGAGATGTTTACCTGACAGGGGGTTTTTTTTCATGGGGGAGTGTTTCAGTGATAGGACAAGGGGTAATGGTATTAAACTGAAGGAGGGGAGATTTAGATGAGATATTGGGAAGAAATCCTTCCCTGTGAGGGTGGTGAGGCCCTGGCACAGGTTGCCCAGAGAAGCTGTGGCTGCCCCTGGCTCCCTGGCAGTGTTCAAGGCCAGGTTGGATGGGGCTTTGGGCAACCTGGGCTAGTGGAGGGTGTCCCTGCCCATGGCAGGGGGGCTGGAACTGCATGGGCTTTGAGGTACCTTCCATTCTACGATTCTATGATTTTTGCTCTAGTTTCAGATCCACAACTGCGCCTGGTATCTGGAGGGGACCGATGCTCTGGGAGGGTTGAAGTTTACCATGCAGGCAAATGGGGGACAGTCTGTGATGATCTCTTTGGTATGAACAGCGGCAGTGTTGTATGCAGGCAACTTGATTGTGGTCAAGTTGTCTCTGTCTTGGGATGGTCTTATTTTGGCCCTGGCAAAGAAGACATCCACCTGGATGATGTGCAGTGTAGAGGAACTGAATCTTACCTTTGGGACTGTCAGCACGCCGGCTGGAACAGACATAACTGTGGACACAATGAAGATGTCGGCGTCATCTGTTCAGGTAAAAAAAAGAAAATTTAAAAAAAAAAATATGCGCTCTTAAAAATCTCTTTGCATTTTCCTGTTGACCATAAATGCAAGAAACATCACAGCAGAGCTTGGAAATCAGACTAGAGCTGAACTGTGTGCATGTGGAGGTTCCTTGTGTTTAGGCTGGTCTGCGTGATCGAGAAACAAATGGATGTCCTGGACAAAATACCAAGATTGGTAGCAGCAAGGGCTGAGTATGAAAATGGTGAAAAGAAGGTAGTTCAGGACCACTTTAGTCAACATCTGATTACAAGCCATTCACAAGACAAGAAAGGCAACCAGTTAAGAGGAGATAGAAGCACATCCCGATGTGAACGAGGCATGTCGGAATTGAAAATAAAAATTAATACTCGTCATAAACATAACTGAAATCAAAGCTTGCATAGCTAGAAGCAGCCTATTTTGAAATAATATAAACATCACCATTTTCCACGGAGAGCACTGTTGTGATGTCTACCACAGAACCCCTGACTTCTGCTGGCAAAGGCAAGGGGAAAAAAAACCTGCAAATGTCATGTGCGGAAATTTTGAGCAATATAAGCAATTTATTTAGAGCAGACAGGAGGAATACAGTAAAAAATATTTAATAACTCTGCATGTAATTAGCCTTGGAAGAGCCAATGGCCAACACCATCTTCATTTTCATAGGAAAATGTGGTTGGAGGGAAAATGGGCATGCGATTAAGTCTACCTGCATGTACAATTATCAGGACTGCATGTATGTATGGCGAGATCTTTACAATCAGTTCATCTGAGGCACTCTTACCTGGATATTTTCTTCACCTTCAATTCTTTCAATAATCTTGCATAATTTTCCTGTTTCTTAAGTTAATGCAAAGGTAGAACAGGAATAAGGTGTGTTTATACCCTGTTGAGAGGTGCACTGGTTGCATCAGTCTCCCAAGTTCACTTACAATTACTAATTGGAAGATGTTCTTCTGAACTATAAATCAGTCTCCCAAGTTCACTTACAATTACTAATTGGAAGATGTTCTTCTGAGCCACATTACCAAAAGTCAAAGTCCAAGAAACTGACTTTCTTTTCCATGAAGCCTGAAGTATTAATGATTTCCCAGATCCTTGAAAAGTCTTTTCTCCTACATGCTAGTGACTCTGTTTAGTAATGTATTTCCCCACCCCCTGGCCACCTCTGCAGGTTCCTCCCCTGCACCCAGCTCCAGCACAGCAGGGACTGAGACATCGGCTGCTCTAGGGACCTTGACAACCCTCGAGGAAGGTGAGGCACACTTGCGTGCTGAAAGTCACTTCCAAAGCACAAGACAAATCTCATTCTTTATTTCCCCTATCAATTACCACTTTGCATCTTTCCAAATGACTGTTGCATCTCTGGTAGTAAAAGAATGCAGTCAGAAATATCTACTATCTTTATTATTAAATATTAAATGAAGGTGAAAGTCTTTTTTCAGCAAAAATAAAAGGCTATGCATTGACTCACTGTCCTGCAAAGCCCAAATCTATTTACTTTCATCAAGATTTCAGTTCACATGTTCAGTCCTAATTGCTGCCAATCTCTCCTTTTTATTTCCTCAACTTTCTCTTGACCTCCGTTACAGCTTCTGAGTCCACTGTTGTCACAGAGGAAAATGCCACATCAGCTCCTGAAATCCCAACCACAGTTTATATAGGTAAGAACAGGCATTTTGCAAAACAAATATTTTGTTAATTTGGGTTTTTCAGATGGATTATGATCTGACCATGTAAATCTGTAAAATATTCATAGCAGACAACTGCAAGTTAAACACCTCTGTGAAGGAACAACCCCCTTACAACATCTTCACTTTAAAAATATCAAGCTGTCAGGACATATCAGGAACATATGCATTTAATAATTAATACCTATGAGCTCATAGCTATAAATACTAAAAATTTTGTAAAGCAAAATCATTGATCATCCAGATCGTCATGATTTTGTATGTCCAAGATTCATAAAAATCTCCAGAAACATTAAGGAGCGCAGCCAGGCATTTGCACTCATGTCCCTCAGTTGGACCTCTGCCTCTCCGGTTATTTAGCAGACTGTGTGATAACACAGTTTTTAATCAAATCTGAGACCTAAATCCAGTCACATGCTGCTCAAATCACACTCGTGTTTTTAATTGCTACTTGCAACCATTTAATTTCTCGTCCTTATAGACTCCTCTGGTAGCACAGGTGCCTCCCTCGCTTCCACCGCCATCACAGAAGAAGGTGGGACATCAGAAATCCTGACTACCCTGCAGACAGGTAAAGGGCATTTGCACAACATGTAGCACGTTAGAAAAACATGGTTATGAGTTTTGGTTAGGAGGGGATATCAGTGGAGATGCCAAGAAATGTTGCAAACTCACCATCTCTCAGTGCAGCTAATGCTTGTCTATGTATTCCATCTGCTTGGTACCAACCTGCTGGCTTTCTGGCAGCACGGACAGTCTATCACACTACCACTACTCTGATCGGGAGTTGCAAATGCTGTATGCAAAGCCTGCTTCAAGGGAAGCTGAATGGTGCAGAAGTTGAACCACAGAATCTGAAGGAAATCATTATTTTTATTTTTATTTCTTTAAGAAGCATGACTCGGGAAAAAGCCACCCAGTCTATGTTTCTCAACATTTGTAACACTGCTTATCTGGATTATAAACCATTTGTAAGCCTCCAGGCTTGGTCTTTCTTATCAAGCCAGTCCAGGATGAAAGGCAGGTCCTGTCCTCCCTCTTGAGGATTTCTCAGCTCAAATTCAGCCTCTCCCAACCTGTGGCACAGGATGTTGCAGGCTCAGCCCAGCGAGCTGGGGATGAGAGAGCTGGCTCTCCCTCCAGCATCCCTCTCCTCTTCGGCACAGCTCCCACCTGCCAATGGTGATGCTCCACAGGGCAAGGAGATCCAGCAGAGAATTGCAGGAAAACTGATGCTGCGATGCTGTATTTCAGTGTCAGTCCCGATGGCCTCTCCCTCCTTTCTCCAATGACTAATGGAGCTCTGGGAGAAAGGCTTTCCGTCGGATAAGCCAGGAGTAGCTGTAACAAACATTTCCCTCCATAGAACCAGAAAGCCCTTTGTTATTTCTCTTTTTGAACTTCTCAGTAAAGGTGACAAAACACGCCCCGTTGCAGTGTTGGGAAACTATATACCAATAAATGTTACTGCCATTTCTATTTTTGCTTCTCACAGTCCTTTTGCTTTTTTCTCACTCTCAGTGAAAGAAGGCTGAAACTTTTTCGATGCTGGTAGTGCAAAGCATTAACATGAAGATCCATTTCTGAGCCATGTCAGGGGGTGTGGAAGACAACTAATACACAGACTCCCTTTTCCAGAAAGCCTGAAGGCAATTAAATTCAAGAGCCCATTTCAGTCATTCAGCTTTATCTGAATGCGCTTTCCCTCTCGTTTCTTTCTCACAGCCTCTGAAAATACTGCAGAATCATCCATTTCACCCGGTTCACTTATAGGAGATGGTGGTACCTCAGTTCCAGAAATCCCTTCCACAGCTGCTGAAGGTAAGAACAGACACTATACCATAAAATCTAATAATAATAGTGTTTCAGTTTGTTTAAAATAGATTACATTTGTAGGCTTACAATAACTACATAAAGTTTAAGATCAGTCAACTGTTAATTAATCATCTCAGTGAAGAAATAACCCAGCTTCTAAACACTTCATTTCTAAAATATTGGGCTGTCAAAGTTTGAGAGATATGTAATTATAAACAATTTGGAGCTTTAAGCTGCTTGTGCTATTTGTATAATTTAGCAAAAGTGCCCAAATATCAGTGCTTTTGTCTGGGAAGTGGAGAGCAACAATAATTAAATCTTCACTTTAAAGATTCAATAATCTTTGATAATTCTTTCCCAGTCTTAAAGATGGAGATGCCACCACCTGGCACAGTTCAGCAGCTGGTTCTCTGTACTTTCCCACTCGTCCCTGTTGGACTCTCTCACCAAGGAATTAATGATGGGAGAGTGCAAAGCACATCATGCTGCAGTTTTTTTGTGGAGCTGCCTGTGGAGAATATCAGCAGAAAGTTCACTTGAATGCCTGCTGTCTAAGCCCCCAGATCTGCTGCCCAGATCCTTATTGTCAATATTAACAAGATATCACCTTATCTGGGTGATTATTTACTTGAAGTTTTGACTCAAATTACCAGATTTTAGAGGCTACAATACAATTCACTTTTCCTTCAAGGACATAATCAAAATCACATCAGCAATGATCAGCTCCAGTTTCTATCACTGATTGATGCTTTTCTCCAGTAATGTATTTCCTCAACTCTTTCACAGTTCTTTCAACATCCCTGTATTCCTTCTTTGCATCCACTTCAGTAAATGAAGAGACCGAGGCAGTATCTACACCAGGAGTCCTAAGCACAGCTTACAAGGACAAAGTTTAGTTGCAAAATCAATTTTGAGTCTAAGCGAGCTAAAGGAAGGCCGTACTCTATGGAAAATGTATGCAATGAAGTTTTGATAAAAAGGGCTAAGAATACATTGCTTCATTCTCCAGCAGCTAAGAAGCTTAAAAATCCAAGTTTTAAATATATATTTATCACGGTGTTATGTAGTGACAGAGTCCATGTGTGTTCTCTGAAACAAAGCTTCCTGTATTTTCACACTTTTCTAGCAAAATGTCAAATCCAGATCCTTTCAACCAAAAATTTAATTCTGGTTCATATTCATGTTTTATCATTCATTATTCATTGTTCTTATTGTTTTTTTTTCCTCAAAGCTTCAACAGATTATTTTGTCACAGAAACAGATGTCTTGATCACATCCGCCCCAGTCACAGACGGTACTGAGCCATTAACGACTCCAGCATCGCTACCTACGCTGAGCGAAGGTAAGGAACAGTCAGATACAACCTCTGCGCCTTGCGTTCTTTAGGAGCAGAAATGTCTCTGTCCTGCACCACCACGCAAAGCACCATTTGGGGCTCAGAAAGTCCCTGAGCTGCAAAAAGGCAACCAGGAGACAAATCTGAGCGTACTTTGTATGCTTGTCCCGTTCATATACTCCTCCTCAGCACCTCCCAGTGGTTCCCAGCCCTTCTTCAGCGCTGATCGTGCTGCAACGTGTGTGCATGTGTCCCACCTTTTCCCCATTCTCTTTGTTGGGGCAGCTCTTATTCTGGCATCTATTTTGTAATATAATTTGCAAGTTTTTAATGAATGACCTGTTTTAATGAATCTATGAAATAATTTCTTGGGTATTAAAAAAATCTTAGAACCAGAATTTCACCAGACAGCATCAGCCATCAGCTGAGTTGGGACCCTTCTCTCCACCACATGCTGTCCTACCTCCTCTTCTACTGAAGCAGAAATTGATAGCACCAGTAAGCTTTAAGCTCCTATGCAAATCTCCACCAGGGAAGATAACTCTGAACTTCACAGATATTTTTGAGACACACAAAAAAATGTGTTGGACGCTATATTCAAAGTTCTTCTATTGATGGACATTTTCTGTAGTCCCTACAGTTGCTCTTTTAGCTCTCTGAAGACTCTGAGGAGCAGAGGATCTGGTGGCCATCCTCTTTAGAGCCCTCTTCAGAATAGTGAAAGACACTTCACACAAAAACTAAATACAGCGCTTTAAAGCTTTCCCCAGAGCTCAGGATTTTCAAGCCTATTATATTCTTGATTTGTTCATCCAAGCTCTCCCCATTATCTCTTTCTTAAGCATGCAATCACCGACTGAGCAGCTGAGGTCTCTTTAGCACCAAGGAGAATAAGTAGCTCCCATCTATCACTCTGAGAGCAAGGCTGAGACCGGACTGGCTCACTGTAGCATTAACGTTACCAGCTTCCAGTTTTTCCACGGTCCTTCTGTGCCAGCTGAAAGGATGATTTTGCCTTTGTGCTTTGGTTTTCTCTTTCCAATGAGCAGCCCATTCCACCTGTCTTTATTGAATTTCAGCTTGCTGATTTTTGACATTTATTAAGTTTATGAAGATCATTTTGAATTCTCATCGTGTCCTCCAGAGAGTGCACAGACCTTGCCATTCCTTCTGCCATTCTACCTGCTCTGTTCCAGCCTCAGTGGCAAGGGCTGTGGATCTCACTATGGTATGGTAGCTGTGGCTGGCTGTTTCACACCCATACCATCTGTTAGTCCAACATGCTGCATAACACGATAAACAATTAGCAAGGCAAGTGATCATTCCTCTCTTTACAATCTTTCTTTCAACACTGCTTGTCTTCTGCAGCCTTACCTATGCTGTCAGAAGTTCAGAGCTGTGACTCAATGCCAGTGGTGGGAGCACTAGAAAGTGTAATACCAATTTCCTTACTGTTCCACTCATTCACCTAATTTCAAACAATATTTTCGTGTTCAAGATCTAGGATCTGTCTGCCTTAATTTCTACAAGTATTGTCTTAGAAATGAACAGACAAATCTTCAGCACAGTGAAGAAGATTTCAGTCAGTGTTTTTCTACCTTTTTCCTGCCAGTCATTTCACTTTCAAAAGGATAGAAATGAAAACTTTCTTACTTTGAAGAATATTTCACAGAGCTTTGATCAGATTTTGCTGCTTGCCTTACTTATTCAGACTGGGCTCTATTCCAGCTGAATGAAAGAAGTTTGCACTTCTTTGCATACACCAGTGAAACTGAGAAATGAATGTGGTCCCTCACGATTTATTTTTATTTGCTTGGCTTCCAGAAGTTGAGCGTGAATTACTTAAATGAGTGATCTGTTGACTATTATGCAGGTTGAAGGAACATAATACATGGTGTATGTATGGTTTCCTAAGAACTACTATGGAACTATGTGCTTGCAACTAATAAGTACTTTGCCTATGTCTACTCAACCAAGTATTTGAGCAAACAGTTCCATCTTATTTATGCGTGTTGTGTGTAACAGGGATGCTGTTCAATGGTTATAGGTGAAAAAAGGCTCCTTTATAGCTCTAACTAATAATCTCATTACTTTAATTTGTACATACCGCAGGTAAACGGTTGTTTATGTTAAAGTCTCAGGAAAACTAAGTGCTCACTGATTCCTTTGACTGTATTATACACTTAACTAAGCACAAAGCATTGACTTTGGAGAGATACAGATATTGATTATTTTCTGTTATTAATTTACTGAAAGTAAAAAGTTGCCTTTCCGCTGTCTGTAGACACCCCCAGAAGAATACATTAAAGGTTCTTGGGACTGTAACTTAATCAGTTCTTTGTTTTCTGAAGAAGTGCCCCAAAAAATTTCAGATGGATGTTCATATTTCAGATTAATGAAATACTTCATTTACTTACAGACTTTAATAGGAATGAAGCCTGCCTCCCAGTAAAGCCATTTTTAATATCAGCTGAATCACAAAAAATTTATTTCTGCCTGTAATTTAAGTCAAGGTCTGGATACAGAATTTTTAATCTGCCTCTTTCTCACTATTCCCACCTGGATTTAGATAGCTAATATAGTCCAGTTCTTAAACTTTTTATTTAACTCCTTTCGCTATTGCTGGTGAATACTCAACACCTGGATCAACAGGGTAATTTTCTTTTGTCTCAATCATCTTTTGTCCCAATTATCTTTTTTTCTCCCTGAAATCATATTTGGCAGTCTTGTAGAACTTTAGACTTAGATCTTGGGAAGTGAGCCAAGCAGATTGCTGCTGGCATTTCTTTAGAGCCAACTTTTGCAGAAGTAAATGATAAGCATGGTACTCAGATGGAAGGAGCTTTGATCATGGTCGGCAAAAAGGAATTAAGGGGAAACAGAGTCCTAGGAAGCATGGCCCTCGTTCTGAATGGATGTGCATTAGTTAGTTACAAATGGCTGCCAGGTGACAGCAAAATGTCCCAAAATGACAACCTCGTAATCACTGACCCACCAAGGAGTAAGACAGGTGTGTACACTCGGTACAGTTTATGATGGCCACAAACTAAGAGGAACTCCATTATGCTGTCGGTGGTGTCCCTGATTTCTTTCTCTGAAAGAAAAATACACTCCAGGCCCATAAAACTAATTTGGAACTTCAGATCTCTAAAAGCCTTTCCCTCTGAAAGTGAGATAAATGTGTGGAGTATTCCGTAAGTACCCAGCTCTCAGAAATGAGCATGGTCTGTAGAAATAGCTCTGCTACTATTCTGGGGAAATGATGCTGTGCCAACCATCTGTTATGCCAGAGGGTTAGCAAGGATGGGAAAAGAAGCTGAACCAGGCATTATTTAAAGGGGAAAAGACCAAAAAAACCCCAAACCATATCCCTTAGATGGCAAGGTATCCCAGGAAAAGGTTGGTTCTGGATATTTGTGTTCATCCTTTAGAGAGCACTACAGTATAGACAAGAATGATGGTAAATAAAAGGTAGAAAACCTTGCACAAAGTGGGAAGAAGTGGCAGCTAGCTGCATGGGTGAGGATCATTTTCCCCAGAGATCAGCACGTTGTGGAAGAGAACTACGTCCGTGCCCATTGAGTATTCCATGTAGAAAGATGGAAAGTTCGAGCATTTATAATATCCTACAACAGCACTGAAATTCAGGGGAGGATCCTTTGTCAGAGCAGACTACGTTGTGGGCTACCTGCTCCTGTCTTCACTGGGGTGGCACTTGGCCAGCGCCGTGGATAAACGCCACTGATGCGCTATGCGGGCTCTTTCTCCGCAGCAGACATCTCCGTTCTGTCCCTGCGACTGGCAGACGGCGACGGCAAGTGCTCGGGCCGCGTCGAGCTCTATCACAACGGCAGCTGGGGAACGGTCTGCGACGACGCCTGGGAGCTGGCGGACGCCAAGGTGGTGTGCAGGAGGCTGGGGTGCGGAGAAGCTCTGCTAGCTGTGTCTGAAGCCCAGTTTGGTCCAGGCTCTGGGAACATCCTCCTCGATGACGTGCAGTGCAGAGGGGATGAAGCCGACCTGTGGGAGTGTTCCCACAGAGGGATCGCTGTCCATAATTGCCAACATAAAGAGGATGCCAGCGTCATTTGTGCAGGTACGCTAGCACATGTCTCCTAAACTATTGCTTTGTGAGCAATGCAAGCTTGCCTGCAGCTAAGATTTTGATGCATGACTTGTTTCCATCAGTGGAATTGTTTCAGGCCTGAAACAAAGACCTATGAGAATTGCTGTCTCTACCACATTTTTTCTTTTTGTTAACTCATGCAGTTTATTCACACAGATTTGTGTTTTAATTTTTTATTTTAATTCTCAGATTCTTTGGCTACATGGAATATCATTGTCAATCTTATTAGATGCCATTTCCTATTCCATTACTTGGCTCCTTTATGCATTACTATTTGAATCATAATTTTACATCATCACTATTATATTTCAGTCCTCCTAGTCCTGAGGTCCCATAAATTATGAACTATGACTAGTAAATCAAATTTCCTTTTCTTTTATTTAGGAGGAAAATATTTTTAGTAACTTCCTTTAGGATTTTTTCCAAATCAATTCCCAGTTTTCCAGCGATTCTATACTCTGACTGGAAACACGTGTGCAGTTGTAGAGCCCGCGTCACTGCAGCCTCTGTGCCATGGCAAGTGGTGGTCCATGGACAAAGCTCATCCGGGTGGCGGGCACTCTATGAGCTTGAAATGACCGAGGTGAAACGGAACCGACTGAAAGGGGTTGTGGATGAGACCTGGCACAAAGAATGCTGGTTTACAGCTTATCCTGGGGATACCTTTCCCTGGGGAAAAATCAAAACAAATTTTTAATAGAGTTAGGTTTTTCAGTAAAGACCTCAAGTGGAGTTAAACATGTGGCCCAAGCAGACATGTGTCTCTTTGGTGTGTATGTCCCACACCTAAACCAATTAAAGATTACATCTCTAAAGTGATTTAATCTCAGATTAACACCTGACATTTAAAAAGGGGTTTGCAGCCTTCTCCCTTTTGGTGGTGATGCTTCCAGAGATGGATGGGTTGCTCTCTATCAGTACTGCTTTCTTTATTTTCATACAGGAACTGAAGAACATTATTAAGCATCCTCTGTAGTAAAATTAGAAATTCACTCTTCTGTTTCCTTTCCTAGAGCCAGTTACTCCCCCAGTCACAACAGAGCCCGTTCCAGCTGGTGAGTTCTCCCTAGATGGGTCTTGCAAAGTTTTCACAGCTGATACATTTTATATAGTAACTTAAGTACTGTTAAGAAGGCAAAAATTGTATAGGTAAAAATTTCAAAGCAAATAAATGCATGTAAGGTGAGTTTCTGAGATACTTGAGGCTTATCTAAGAGTTTTGCTGTTAAAGAATACTGATGTCAATAGGAATGGTTATGTTAGCTACAGACATATACATCAGAGCCTGCAAGAGGAAAAAAAATGTTTATATTCACTACCTAGTGTATATGGCACACTATGAGAGTAAGGATTTATGATAGCTGATGAGCTGACACAATGTGGCTTGTTACAATAAGATTAATTTCATGTTTTTGCCATTTTCTGTGCAACACAACAAAGTTGGCTTTTGCTATTTGATAAATGCAGCTGGAAAGCCCATTTCTGAGGCTGCTGGGTGCCCATGCATTTCCCTCTGCTTTTCCAAGACATGGCCCTGAGACTGGCGAACGGAGAGGACATGTGCTCGGGACGCCTCGAAGTCTTTCACAACGGGAGCTGGGCAACCGTCTGCGATGACGGCTGGGACATGATGGACGCCACGGTTGTGTGCAGGCAGCTGGGCTGCGGGCAGCCGGTCTCGGCCAAAATTGATGCCTTTTTTGGGGAAGGCACAGGAGATATTCTCCTGGACAACGTGGCATGCAGAGGGGACGAGTCCTCCCTGGAGCAATGCTCTCACACTGGGCTGGGCATGCACGACTGCTACCACAAGGAAGACGCTGGTGTTATCTGTGAAGGTACTCACCTTTTACATTTTATTTAATGTGAATTAAGTTTCCCAAGTCATGCATGCAAGCCAGTATGGGTGAAAGGAGGAGCTTGGTGCAAGGCTGGAGCCACTATGGGAACGGGGACCCTTGGCAGCAGCCAAGCAGGGAGGGGGGAGGCCAATGAGTGCCAGGAAGGTGGGCAGGGGTACCCTGGTCACAGGTGGGACCAGCCCCCATGGGCTCCATACATCCTGGGGCCATCTCGACCTTCACAGAAGGGATTCCTTTACCTGGGGTCTGGGGGAAGCAGGGAGTGAAGAGCGGGGCTATAGACATTTTCTTCCAGAGAGGACCACTGGTAGGTTTTGGCAGACCGACATGGAATCTGCTTTTGGGACAAAGACTATTTGCCCAAGACCCTCAAAGTACTTGTGTCAGACTTGCAGATTTATAAACATCTTTTCTTCTCTTTATAAATTTGTAGTAATTTTCAAAGATCTGCATCATATTTATGTGAAAGTTACTGAGGAAAACACTGAAAACTCATGCTAGCTGAGGATGCAAGACAAAACTGTTTTGCTGGAGGTTCTGGCACTATAGGAACGTGGTGTGTCTGATCCCAGACATCAGTGTAGACTGGCAGGTCACTGCATCTTTTTGAACTCAGCTGTTTCTGCCCAAAAGAGAGTGAGATCCTACAGGGAAGTGATATTCATGCTGTGCTAAGGCATATTATATTATAATGATATAATGAATAACAGTACCATGAGACTTACATAGTGAATAAGAAGTGAATAAAGCTTTTACTACCCCTCTGAAGAGGCTCACATTTTCACTCTGATTTCATTTTTGTTATTTCTTCTCCTCTCCCCTTTTCCTGGTACCATGGATTGTTCTTACTTGATGGTTACTGACAAATAATTACAATGAATATTGGAGAAACAATTGCAACAAATCTTTGATGTGGTCTGCATAAGCTGCATGCCCCAGGACAAGCATTTAACAAGAAATTATGTTCAGACTATCAGTCCACATTCCCAACCCACTCAGTCTTGCTTAAATGCAAAGCATTTCTCCTCCGATGTATCAAGAGGCTGTATTGCAGCACAAGCCATGCTTGCTTAAACATTTTTAATAATATACTGAACAAAATGTTTGTTTCCCAACTAACCTTCCCAAGCTGCACATAATTTATGTAATTTAAAAGGAGTTACGGACTGCTCATCTTCCAGGCTCCGGCAGATCTTGCAGTGGGTGGAGCTACTTCACTGCAAACAGCAATTCGTACTGGATTCCATCCTGGGTGAGGAGGCAGGACAGAAATTACACCTGTCCCCACCAGGTTTGCTTCTCTGCCCCGCTGTCGACAGATGTATTCGTTGCACAGGGAGGCAGGGAGAATGGCACGGCAGAAACACCAAGGGGTGGGCAGAAACACCTGCAGCCTTCTCCAAGGCTTCAGAAAACATCACCTCAGTCACGGCTTTGGGGAGAACCCTGACTGCGCTGCTGCTGGTCTCGCCTTACAACTGAAAGCATTGATCTGGCTTTCCTTCTTTTGATGGTTTTTATTTTCTCTCCTGACAGTCCCCCTGGAGCTCACCACACCTGAAGCAACAGGTACTTCAGTGTTCGTTTATTTATCTCAGATTTAGTCAAATACAACTTATCCTGCAGCAGAGTGCTGATTCCCTTGGACTTTAACAGCTTTGAGCCAAAATTCGTGCTCTCTCGGAGGTGAGAGCCCTTACCTCATCATTAGCTGAAGAACAGAAGGTGCTGAGGTGAACACAAACTCCTGGTGGGATCTGTGGACAGAAGGGTCCTGCCGCACTGAGCTCTTCTGCCTCTGTGGCGATACATGGAACCACACACGTGGTTTCCATCCACCCTCAATGTCGGTGGAAACACCACGAGCTGGTTTACACAAATTCCAAATTATGGGCTAAACTGCTGTAATGTAGGTGGATTGAGGATCTCGTTATTACACCTAATTACATCTAAATGATAACATTGCTTTGCTTTGTCAATCTACGCTTTGGTCATGCAATATTGAAAAAATTAGCAAAGCGTGGCTTTTATTTCCTCTTTGGCAGTCTTGACCGAGTCTACGGTGGCTGAAACAGCAGGTATTTATTTCTGGTCGCTTACTGAACTGTGGTGAGCACGATATTGCAAGCAGCTGAGGATGCTGCTATGGGTCTCAGGGCAAAAATATACATTTAAAATGCAGGCAATATTTAATTTAATCTCTTCTTTCTCACAGTAACAGTCTCTCCCACTCCTGAACCAGCAGACATTACCACTTGTAAGTAATACAGTGTTACTCTGGGTTCAATGCTGAGCTGTCCACCAAGTTCTGATCATGTATTGACTGGCTCCCTGCCTCCACTGTCTGTGAAATTCTCGTGGATTTAACCATCAGCTTCAGGGGCAATCCCAATCGCCTCTCCCTTAACTTCCATACACAATAAAGAAGGAAAGGGTCTTGGTGTTGGTACGGGAGAAATCCTTGCACGGACCTCACCGCCATCGCTGCAGCGCCGGGCACTGCTGGGGGCCTTGCTTTGCTCACGCAGTAACATAACAGTTACTAAAACCTGCGGTTTACTTTCTCTTTGACAGTCCCGACCGAGTCCACAGCAGCTGAAATAGCAGGTATTTATTTCTGGTCATCTTTTGAACCATGGTGAGCAGTTTACTAGTTTAGCATTTTTCATGTGAGTCACAGAATCATAGAATCATTTAAGTTGCAAAATATCCTTAAGCCATCAATACCTTTAAAATATGGACGTTTAATTTCATATTTTCCCTTCTCACAGTAACGAAGTCATGCACTCTGTCAGACTCTCCAACCCCTGAAGCAGCAGCCATTACCACTTGTAAGTAATGCAGCTTTACTCTGGATTAACTCCTCAGTTACCTAGCAAAGGCGTGATCTGATTTTTGTGTTGGGATGGCTCCCTGTCTCCACTGTGTGCATAATCTCATGGATCTAGTAAATAACTTCAGGGATAAGTCCTTTGGCTTCCATACAAATCAAGGGATGGAAAAGGCTCTTGATATTGATATGGAACTAATACCTGCACTGATGAAAGCACTAGGGAAGGGAAAGCCGCTGGGGCAGACACACCACACCAGAATAAATTCAGATTTGCACTCAATCATCCACTCCAAGAAAACCAGCCTTCCCGTGCTTCCCAAAGCTACATCCCCACGGCTGCACAGACCAGACTGTGCTTCCCATAGGAATGGCCAGGTTCAACACCTGCCGAGGCGGCAGCACAGACCTCGACAGCATCAGTGCAGCACAGGGCATTGCTAGGGACACCGCACGTTACAACCCATAAATTTATCTCGTTACCCCCGGCACCCAAACTGTTGTTTAGCAAACATCCCCCAGATTTCGAGGTCAGAAGCACATTGGAGGCCATGGCAGAGGCAGCCCGCATGGGGATGTGCTTTGCTCCCGCTGATGCTGCTCACGCTCCGGGCAGGCTCTGCTAACGCCCGCCCTGGGCAGCAGCAGCATCTTCCAGGCGCTGTGGCCCATCGCCACTCACATGGGACCTGCCGGTCTCCTGTGGCTCGGGTGCCTCGCACCGGGGACAACGGCTAACCTGCAGTTTTGTTTTGTCTCGTGTCTCGGATCAGCCCCTGCCGAAAACACGACACCTGAAGCAGCAGGTACGTATGACTTTAGCTTTAGTAGAATGGGTCTAATGCTTGATCCTGGGAGTAAACTACTGATTCCCTCCCCAGTAACA